GAAATACAGAGCTTGATGGGGGGAGATGATTAAATGCAGCAGATGGCAGCCAGGGTTTTAATGGGTTTAAGAAATCAAAGGGAAAAAATTAGAGATTTGGGTTTCGTCCCATTGAGAAAGAGGAACAGGACACGGGGGTGTCCGATGGAGGCTTTTGGCATTCTGTGAAGGATCAATGTTGCTGGAAAGATGGCTCTCAGTGGTGAGAGGAGACAAGGGGACTTGCAGAACTCTCTCCCACTAAGAGGAATGAGCCTATGGAACAAGTTACTGAGAGAGGCAGGCAGCCTGGGAGCCAAGAGTAACTGAGCTCAGCAGAGACCTGGGGTTGATTGGAGAGGAGGAGGGGTGTGTGTGTGGTGGGGGTAAGTAGGAAGGTGGGGAATGAAGATAAGATGGTTGGGTGGGAGTGTGAGATACTACAATGGGGCCCTCTGAGGGGGGATGGTATTGAACACTTGGTTTTTATTGAACACTTTTCCATGTTGGTAACTTTTCTTGTGTACCTAGAAGCTGCCCAGAAATGTTCTGTCCAAATTATTTTTCATTGAAGAATGAGGAGGAGGAGAGGAAAATGTACCTCACCTGTGGCCTGAAACCGAGGAGTGTCTGCAAGAGACCTGTTGATCTTTGCTCTCTGCTGTACATTCCTTGCTGTTCCCCACCCTCACACTCCAGCTTGTTTGGGTGCTTAGGGCTCCAGCGTTTGTCCTATTGCCTCTCTCCCGAGCTGCCCATCCTTGGAAGCTGGGGGACACCGTGACAGCACCAGCAGCTGTGTGGAGGCAGAACACCCAGCAAGGTGTTCCCGAACCCGTTCTGTTCTAATGCACCTTCCCCCCTCAAGTGTCTTTCTTCTTGTCTTTGCCAGTTTCCTAGAAGCATTTTCCCTTCCAAGTCCCAGGATCCTTCATTCTGACAGCCAGCCCCTGGGAGTTAATTATTACATGGAATTGTAAGTTAAGGGCTGCCTGGCTGAGCTGAAGATACTTTCCCCTCCTCCCAGCTGCTTCTTGGAGGTAGCAAAGGTTAGAGCCACTGTGGCCCATGCTGTTGCTGCTAGGCAGGGGAGACAGGCAGAGCTCTGGGGCTTCCGGGCCACTGTTGACAATTCCCGTAGTGATGCCCTGCTGTCTGTTCACAGACCTTGGCCTGAATGGATCCTGAACATGCAGCGGCACAAGGCAGCCCACTGAGCAACACCCTCTCCCCTCCATGTGGGTGACATGGACTCCTGTGAGGAGCTTCACCGCATGATCGCCCCCGTCACCCACCGCACGCCATCACCAGCTGCAGTTGGCAATGGATCCAGGGACCACTGTGTACAGTCCATCTGCCTTCAGTTACCCATCCAGGAGTGAGACAGGGGCCAGGGCTGCTGATACCTGGAGAGCTGCTGCCCTCACATCTGAATGCCCTGCGCGTGAGCCATGGGGCCAAGAGGAGCCCACGGCGGTGGAGAGGTAGGCAGCAATGGTGGGGGAGAAGAGGCTGGTAATGAGCCAACTCTGAAGGGATTCAGCAGGTTTGAGGGAGGGGGTGGAGCTGAGAGTGGCTAGGTGCCTTGGCTTTGCCTGAGGGCGGGCTGAAAGGGCATTCAAGGGGGGCTGATGGTGGGCATAGGCTATGGGGGGTGGGGCAGAGTACAAGAGAGGTAGCAAAGGACAGCCCATGCATTAATAATCTGCCTCTTTTCAACTGAGGTATTTTCCCATAGTCCAGTTGATCCAGATCCCATTGTCCCTCCTCAATTACACCATACACAAGTTTGGGGAGGTCTTCAGCTTGTGTCCTAATGTGGGGAGTGCTGGGGGATGCTTCATACTCTTCTTCCTTGCTGTTCTAGATGCCTCCTAAAGGAATGGGCTGTGCTGGGCTACCTTTGGTGATATTCTACGGGGCTGGTCTGACTGGCTTGCTATCCCATCACACCTTTGGATCTAGAGTTTCTCCCCTGATCCATGTGTAACTCCCTGGAGACCCACTTCTAGTACTGAGCTAATTTGCTAGAACTGCTGTTAGACTCTTCTTTTATTTTAATTTGGTGACTTGCAGGCCACATTCTAGATTAGTCCTCAGCAAATAGCATAGCAATTAGCTGCTGGACTGTGGGGCTGATTTTCCTATGGTCCCTTTGTGCTGCTTTGTGGGTGGAAAGGCTGGGGGAGACAGCCCCTAGGGAATATCTCCCGTGCATATCCTTGGGAACCCTCTATTGGTGCAGAACTGTGAGGGTTCCCAAGGGCATGCCGGGGTGAGATGGGACAGGAACTAAGAGCAGGTAAAAGAGTGGGAGGGAAGAGGTGGCCAAAATGCACTACCCTTGGAAAGGGAAGGGGTGGTCTGAATGCATCGCTATCTAGCTGTTCTTTGTTTCCTATGGCCTGTAGGGGACCATGGGAGACAGAATGTAAATTAGAGCAGCCTTGTGGCTGCTCTGATTGACACCAGGGGCTGCACCGGTCCCACAGGGAGCACAAAGGTACTTTTCCCTTTACCTTCCTTGTTAATGTACTGAGCGTAAGGATGGACTAGCTGATAACTGGGGCCATGGTCTCCAGCAGTGGCCCAAACTCATCAACAGCAGTGGATTCCATTGGAGCTCTCATGAGGTAGTTCTGCATCTGGGACTCTCCCTCTCCTAGGGAGACCTGTCTTTGCAATATGAATACAAGCATCACATTTGCTGCACCCCTTTTCCACCTCTTACCGGCATTGTGCTCAATAACAATTCTTACTTAGCTAAGCAAAGGTTTTTGTAACCCCAGAATGCGCAGAGGTTTTAAAGTCATGGCATAATTTTATCAGTGTTTCTGACCCATCCAGTTGATACCAGTACCCAGCTGTCACTGGCTGTTTTTCTCCATTCCCTGTACATTATTGCATCTTTAAATCCCACACTTCCCACGGTGATCAGAAAGCTGTTTCAGCAGGAGGTGGAGGGGATACCAGCTGGAGTGATGTGTTCGTGTGGCGGGGGGGAAGGGGCGAGGTTGCAGTTGCTGGTGCCAATTTAAATTCCCAGCCATATGCTATTTTAATCTCTAGGCCCCTTCACCAGCAGTGGGGTCCACTCTTGCAAAACTGCTTCCATGGCAGAACAGGAATCATCTGATCTTCTGCAGATCTTGGCTATAGGAGAAGGCACTGTTCTTTCATTAGTCCCAGTAATGGCAACTCCAAACACTCAGACATCACAAGCCAGGACCACCAAAATCAGGACCTTGGTTTAAAAACACTCTTTAAAAAAAATAAACGGGGGGAGGGGTCCTACTTGTCTTCTGAGCCTTTAGAGTGCACTCACTTCTCCTTTTCAAGATTTTTTTCTGTATCAGAGCTAGGAACTTACTCATTATTTTAAATGAGAGCCAAGAGTCTCATGTAAATCTCTTGATTCCAGCAGCTGGAGCTTTAGGAAAAACACCAAATATTGCAAGACTCATGATAAAATTGCAGGAGTTGGCAACATTGCACTCCTTCCCCTGGGCAATCAATGACCTGTTCTCCAGTTTAGAACAGATCTGTTTCTATAGAGCTAACTAACCTATCTTGGGTGTTTGAGTGAGGATGGAGTTGTGGTTAAGGCATTATACTGGGACTCAGGAGATCTGGATTAAGTGACTGGCTCTGTCACAGACTCTGTGTGACCTCGGGCAAATCACTTACTCTGTCTGTGCCTCAGTTTTCCATCTGTAAAATGAGGATGATAGCTCTGCCTGTGTGTCTTGTCCACGGGCCGGCTCCAGCATTTCTGCCGCCCCAAGCAAAAAAAAAAAAAAAGGCGCGATCGGCGGCGGCAGTTCAGCGGCAGGTCCTTCGCTCCTAGAGGGAGTGAGGGACTTGCCGCCCCCGAATTGCCGCAGGTGCCGCCCCTCTCCCTTGGCTGCCCCAAGCACCTGCTTGTTAAGCTGGTGCCTGGAGCCGGCCCTGGTCTTGTCTATTCAAATTGCAAGCTTTTTGTAGTAGGGCTTGCCTTTTGCTATGTGTTTGCACAGTGCATAGCACAAGAGGGCCCTGAAGTTGGTTGTAATACACATAATAATGTGTATATATACAGTAATGATGCTTGTAGTACCTAGGCAATAACATAATTTAAACAAAATTTAACTCGTCTTCCAGACTTTAAATACAAATACTGGCTTCACAGGCTTGTTTGAGCCGAACCACTTATAGTGGCATGAACATAAACCCTGATTCCCTCTTCACCTTGCCATGTCATGGGGTGCATGGTAATTCTGCCTAAGTGAGGACTGCAGGAACAGGCCTTCAGGCAAGCAGAAGTGTTTCAGTCCTCACTGAGATGGGAGGGTAGCACCCAATGCAACAATAGTAGGAAATTTGATCAAGGACATGAATCAACTACCTATCACTTACAACAGTGCCAGTATCACCTACTGATCTGTGGGTTACACCTCCCTCCTCCCTGATCTACAGAACATAACCACCAGCCACTGGGAGGAAGGATGACCTAATGGCTGGAGCATTATCCTGGGCTGTGGGAGAGCTGGAATCAATTCCTGCTCCGCCACAGGCATCCTGTATGAGCTTGGGCAAGTCATATAGTCCTTCTGGGGATCTCTATGTGGCACAACCCTCCTCCACCCCCCCCCCAAAAGACACAAACAAACCCAAACCTGTGGCAGTGTGTCTCAGAGCCTGGGTCTGCAGACCTGAGCTCACAAAGCTTGTGCAAGGGTGCTAAAAACAGCCGTGTAGAGCAGAGGTGGCCAACCTGTGGCTCCGGAGCCACATGCAGCTCTTCAGAAGTTAAAATGCGGCTCCTTGTCTAGGCACCGACTCCGGGGCTGGAGCTACAGGTACCAACTTTCCAATGTGCAGGGGGTTGCTCACTGCTCAACCCCTGGCTCTGCCACAGACCCTGCCCCCACTCCACCCCTTCCCGTGCCCTCCCCTGAGACTGCCGTGCCCTCGCTCCTCCCTCCGCCCCGCCAAGCCTCCTGTACGCCACAAAACAGCTGATCGTGAGGTGAGGGAGGGGGAGGTGCTGATCGGTGGGGCTGCCGGTGGGTAGAAGGCGCTGGGAGCTGATGGGGGGCTGCTGACATATTACTGTGGCTCTTTGGCAACGTACATTGGTAAATTCTGGCTCCTTCTCACGATCAGGTTGGCCACCCCGGTGTAGACGCTTGGGCTTGGACTCTGAGGCCCAGGTGGGGAGGGGAGGGTTTCAGAGCCTGAGTTCCAGCCCAAGCTGAAACAGCCACACTGCTATTTTTAGTTCCGTAGTGTGAGCCCAAGTCTGTAGACCTGGGCTCTGAGAGTCTCAACTGCTGTTGTTTTGCCTTGTAGACATACTCGTTGTACTTCAGTTCCCCATCTGTACGATGGTGATAATAAAATAACACTGCACTAGCTCACAGCGGTGTTGTGAGGATAAATACATTAAAGACGGTGAGGGTGAGATGCTCATTTGCTATTGTGATGGGGGTCATATAAACAGGGCCGGCTCCAGGCACCAGCCTGGCAAGCAGGTGCTTGGGGCGGCCGCTCCGGAGAGGGGCGGGACGTCCAGGTATTCAGCGGCAATTCGGCGGATGGTCCCTCACTCCCGCTGGGAGCAAAGGACCTCCCGTCGAATTGCCGCTGCAGATCTTTTTTTGGCTGCTTGGGGCGGCCAAAACCCTGGAGCCGGCCCTGCATATAAATACCACAGCCAGCCAGAGAGACCGCCCATTTGCCCGGCTAATAGTCCTTTTGCTCAAACATTCACTCATGCTTTTAGTGCTGAAGGACCTTGAGTTCAAATTCTGCTGTTGGCCTGTAAGGGGAATCAGCGACACCACAGGGCTTTGACTGTCCATCCAGAGCAGAGAAGCTCTTGGTTTTTAAAGTTTCCTCTTAAAGACACTAAACTCCATGGAATTCAGCTCAGGGAGGAGGAGCTGGGTCATATCTCTAGGTCTGGAAAGTGTAGATGGTGTAGACTAGATTCTTGGGCTACTCAACTGTCCAATTCGGCCCTTGCAATGGGTGTGGAGAAACCTGAGATATTAAGAAATACAGTAACGCGATAATGTAATTACCATTCTGCAGTTATGGGCCTGACTCTGCAGATGCTTTCCTTGCATAATACAGGGAGGTCAATGAAAGTGTCATGCACGGATTAGCCGCAGAATTGAGTCCTAAACTGGGGGTGGAGGGGAGGGAAAGACCCACGCAATTCTGCTTTAATGCTTGCCATTTGCATTTGCCACTGTTTCCCAGCAGGGACGTCTGAACAAAGCATCAGCATTATTCAGTCTCGTGGTTTATCCCAGAGCACACGGACGAAGCCAGGGGTGCTGAGAGCCATTAAACCAAACTGTAAATGCTGTGTAGGACAGAAACCACTTCAAGCCAGGGGGTGTGGCAGCAGCACCAGCACCTCTGGATGAAGTCAAAATGCCCAGGCTGCTGTCAGCCAGGCCTTCCCATTGATCTTCCTCATTAGCATCCTTCTCTC